TTTCTCTAAGCCTCTATTAAAACTCTGAATAGGAAAATTTAACAAATTCATGGAAAGATTTGCATATTCTGCCTTTTCTAAAAAATGGGTAGACGAGAACTTTAACAATGTAAAAACCCATACTGTACAGTACCAACATAAGGCTGTATATTTTGCACCATATGAATTGAATTTTGGATTGAAATACAAATAGTATAAGTTCAATTTTTACCATATATGGTAAATCTAAGAATTCATGATCAAAATTTGCATATCTGATTATAGTCCATTTGAAAAGGGTAGTAGAGTACAGTTAAAAAGAAAATATCATAAATAATAATAATGGTCAACTTATAGAGCGCATTTTATGGAGACCTCTATGTGCTTAACATGAACATAAAAAATGCACCAAGAAAGTAATATTTAATCTATCCATATAGACAACTAATCCTAAACTAAGCATGGTTGGGCCAATGGCTCTGAGGAGCCTAATCTATTTTGGAAAATATCAATAGAAGATTTGACTGAAATACAATTATAAAATAATAATCTAAATTTTATTTGGTCAGGATTAAACCAAAGATGTAAATAATGCAATCTATGTTAGGAATTAATTTTTTGGGATTTTTTTTTCTAATTTTACGAGACTGTATATCTTTAATTAAAGTTAAATGAATAATTAAGTGTTGTTTCTCTTTTTACGTAAACAGAAATTCAAGCCATACATTTAGCATTGGTTACATCAATAAATCTCTCATTAATATCAATCTCATCCTTTGGATGTATAAATATTTATTTTAGCGCTCACTCCCATACAAAGAATGTACATTAATTAATCAAGTGATTTGTTTTTAATTCTTGATACTAACTCCTATTACAATAGAAAGTGCTCCTCATTATTATCATTCTGACTCGACAGTCGTTCGCCTTGGACCTTTATCACACAGTAAATCTCATCTTCGTTTCTGTCATGGTTAAAATGCACTGAACTCTAATTTTCTTTTACTAATACAGTAGGCAATAATTAATGAATAATTTAATCAACAATTTGCTTTCTGTAATGAAAAGATTGGTAAGAGGAAAATCAATAATAGGTTTTCAGACTTCATTTTACATGGTTGAAAAATTTAAATTATAATGGACATTATTATACAGTTTAGTATGCCTGCAATATATTATAAACGCTTCTTATTGTGAATAAAAACATTCACTTTTATTCAAGGTAATCAATTATAACCAGAAGAGTTGGTAGAAATGTACTGCATACAAGGCATCACTTAGTTGGTCTTCAATGAAAATAAGCTTACTATTATGTTGTGTTATTGTTATAATAATAATAATATAGAAATTTATATAGCACCTTTCGCCACAGGATACATGGCGTTTAAAGGTTTATTGTAGAGAAATAGGATTATTAAGGAAATAAGTGTGCTTTTAAGGGACTTCAATACTTCTAGCAGGCCGGATGGAAACGGTATTCCACAGTTTTGGAGCAGAGGAAGAAAAAGATTTATCCCCAACAAGTTTGCTGGATTTGGGAACAAAAAGACAGGGCCCAGTAACTGGACAGAGAGAATAGGAAGAAGGTAAATGCATCAACAGGCAAATAACTAGGATTGGAGGACAGTGTATACAGAAATGGATTGCCATTTATTAGTGGACAGATTGAGGTGCATACAGTAGCGCTGGGGGAAAGATGAGCACTCGCATTCCAAAAAGAGTCGACTATTCAATACTGTTTCTGAGCACTTCAGGCACAGGATGCGGTTTAACTCCTTTTTGTTCAGCATTAATTATCTCTAATATTATTTTCCTTATAAAAACAGCACTATACCCCAAAGGCGCATTGGTCCATGGCCAATTGAATGTTTGAAAAATCCGTGACTGCCATTTACACTAATTAAAACAGTGATATATTACTGGCTACTAGCAATTTCCTTAATGTTTAAAAATACATAAATTAAATCTCAAGTCAAAAACATACTGTATTGATCTAAAAGATAGAATATAGTAGGTATGCCATGACATTATTGCAAAAGCTATCAAACATTAAAGCAAAATAAATAATGAAGTTCCACTGAAATATAAAAACACACATATACATATACACATATATATAATATAATAATATAACAATATAATATAATAATATAATATGTATACATATATGAATATGCATACAGTATACTAAAAATCACAATGCTACTGTATACTAAAAATAAAATGAAAATTTATAACGTTAGATCACGTATAAGATACCATGTTTGATGTGAACAACTATTGTTATTTTCGAGACTAAACCCACTAGTGATATTACAGTATGTTTATTCATTGATTAAACCCCTTTGTTATGGCACAACCACTATATTTAATCTCTTAATCTACAGTTTGACATGTCCAACTCACATATGATTAATAAGACTTGTCACCTCTATTGTTCTGTACTAGTTATAAATGCTGGGGTAGTGCAACACTATTCAACCCTTTTTCCTCAACCCCTCCCCTAACAACCAATATATATCATCTGCATTATTTAGGTAGGATCCATGGGCATGATGATGTGATATTGGGCGAGTCAAATGGCCGAGCGGTAAGCAGGGGCGCCACAAGCTACAGCAATAATATCGGCATTTTTTCGAACGGCACGCTCGCCTATATAGTTTTGGTGGTAGAACAAGTCTTCTCAGGTAAGGACTATAAACCGTAGGCCAAGTGTATACAATGGCTTGTGTACACTATAAAGAACCCAGTACATCCTTCGAGACGATACGGGGACCCCGGTGTACTGGAACAGGCACTAGCCTGTGGTAGACGACAAGAGTTGTTGGTACCGGGTTACCGGGTAGCATAGACACGAAGGGACCCTTAGGAGTGAAGAAAGTCATTGATCGAGTTCCTAGTCCACATATAAAGCGCCCTGAGCATCTTATGTTAGATGGATATGTGTGCTATATAAAACTACACTATTATTATATTATACCTATACAGGCAAGTCAAAGATATTTTGTGGCATACAAGTTGTTAATGCATTTAAAGCTGGGAATGCATACTCTTCTTTATTTTGTAAAATAATTTCAATAATAGTACTGTATACCTATTAATAATTGCATCATTTACTGAAATTAATTTTAATAGTAATAAATCTGATATACCGTGTATGGGTAGAATGCCAAAGCTTTCAGAGATTTATGAACTTATGCATGCATTTGGCGGATCAAGGTTTTTGAAAACATAGAGATGAGACAAAGTTGTATAATAATAAAAAACTGTTGTATGTACCCCACCCCACACCAATGCATTGGTTCGACAGTGACTATATAAATTCAAGATGCACATTTAATTGGAAATCGACAGACAGGACGTACTAAAAGGTACCTTAAATTTGCACTGACTACTTAAATTCAAGATAGACCTTTCAGTACTTTCTGTTTATATCCATTTATTCATAAATATGGAAATGGAACATGTAATTAATAACACACAGCTCAGATTTCATAAAAATGTTAATATACAAGATGAATTTCGTCGAATTCAACAATTCAGGTAAGTATTTATGAAGTAGCTGAAAATACAAAGTCACAATCATTATTCTGGGACTAATAAAACCCAAGATAGTTTTCCTGTTTGCACTTCAAATGAATGATATTGTCAGTTTTAATTGTAAGAAAACAGTGTCATAGAACAAAACACGTCCGTACGGATTTATTTCCTGTTGCATAAACTATGCAGCTTAGTTGGCTAATTTAACTGTGCTTGCACGAATCCCACTGCTGGCCCCTTTGAGTGACTGCTAAAGGGCTGAATTGAATTGTCTACATTAACAGATTTAATATGATGTGTCCTTATATGGGCATGGTAATGTGATGTTACACCCAAATATGGGTGTATTACTGTTAATCGTCACATAAAATTTGATTGTGTGGACAGAATCTTAAGGTGCTAAAATGTTTTTAATTTATTATACTTCACACTCCTTAGTGCAAAATAAACATTTAAATGTGATTACAGTAGTGCTGTGTGGCGTCAGCCTTTGTCAACTTTCACATTTATAATTCCACTCGATTCATAGAACTGAATTAAAATTCATGTTGCTATGGCATCAATAATCAATATCATACACCAATCACAAAAAGTATTCTTGCTCTACCCACCTGTATATATATGCTTATAGTAAGACATTACCTTACAACAATATTGCCCTATGGGCATTTAGCTACTTCATAGTTCTTCAGTAGGATTTTGTCTATTATCTTGGGCATAAGAGGCCAAAAAATATTGTGTTGTCCAGCTTGGCCAATGCAGTTTTGACTATTATATAGGGTCAAATTTTCATTTGCTAGCAAATTTTTTCAAAGGAGGAATCAAAAATACTTGTCTACAGTACATTATTATTACTGTACTTTCAAACACCATAATGCCTGAGCCACCTTTAACAGCCTTTCACCATAATACACTCAGACAAAAAATGGCTTCCTCAAGCTAGTACAAACTATCTACGATACATTCTGGGGTAAAGCTGCAAGAGAAGCACCAGTTGGGGAAAGGCAGCAAGGCATTCTCCCATAGGAAAAACTCCTGAAGCCCAGGAAAATAGACAATCTTTGGCCATTTAATTTTGGACATTTCAAACTGTTCAGAGATGATAAGTTGTGTCACATCCAAAGATCATTTTTAGAAAGATAATATAAAACATTTTTTTAAAACTTTTTTGGTCTGACAAGTAGCCAAAAGAGATTTGGCCCTGACCAATGGGGGATTAAGCTCCATCCCTGCTGATGTCACTACACTGGTTGTTTTTAAGACAGTCTATTCATCCCCAAAAGTCTATAAGTGGGGACATATAATTATACAATATTTAACACAGATTACCTAATGTATATACAGTACATCAAAACAAATCAATTGAATTTTTCTTATAAATCCTCCAATTGACATTGGGTTTGAAAAAATATAAAAAATATGACATGGTTTGCGAAGACTTGGAGGGTTTATGTTACTGAATGCAAATAAGTGATACTCACAATGAAGGAACAATTAGAGGAACATTCTGTTGGTTCTCTAAATTCGATCGATTCAGTTGATACATACGCTTGAATTCCACATATGTAGAACATCAAACAGCACAGCCTAGAAACTCCAAGCAACATTGCCATGGCTCTCTAGCTCACTAAAAAAGAGAAGAAAGATAGGAATGTTAAATTGAAATTAATATCCAAGGGCCTACTAGTTTATTGTAAAAAGATTAACACTATAATAAGAATCAATATAAAATAAACCACTTTGTCTAATACTCATATCCAATAGTAAATGGAAGCAAAACAGTAATTAACTGTACATCCGCTCATGTACCTTCTTAACTAGGTTTATAATCAACAATATTAATCAACATTGTACATCGATTATCTATCAACCAATTGAATGTTGACAATATAAGAAGCAGATGGATAGCAAATACTATGACAATACAGTTACAATTAATAGTAAACAACACTGAACGTATTACACTGTGTCATTACTGATCATTAATATTCAGAAATAAAGACAGCCCCATAGGTTTAGATCCATGGTTTAAACAATTTGAAAATCACCTTACATCCTTGTAATGCCTTTTGAAAACATAACATCCTGAATAATTTCCTATTGTGAATATCCAACGTTTTTATATTCTTTTTTATATTATTTGTTTAGGGCACATAAAATGCTATGTAAACACATTTATAGCCAGCACAAGAGAATATGCTCTACAATATATAAAATATATGCACTCGATAAGTATGAAATTATTTTATAGCATTATTAAACAGAACACAGCTCATGTTTACAGTAGCTAATGCATAATAGAGTAGTCACGATCTCCGTAAATTAGCATTATTCCTGGAAGTATCATTAATGTCAATGCTCATTCAAGCTACTGAGCAACTGCGAGAACATTGTGTCATATGTAGTTATTCTCATTCCAGATTTTTCGCAATTTGCATAACCAACATTGTGGGTCTAGGCTACTTGGATATTTCTCCCTTGCTACGTACCACAATATATTTTTCCTCTGGATTCTTCTCTCATATTATGTGTGTAGTGCAACTAAAGTTGGTGCAACTTAACAAATCCAATACTTCTCTTTGGACCAATTAACACAATAAAATAAAACACTACTCAGCTAACTTGCCAACCCAATACTTCTCTTTGGATCAAACACATAAATAGAACACATACTCAGCTCCGTGAAGAGAATTCCATAATACAGCAAAGGGTATAGGCTGGGCTGGTCTCAGCCTGGGGGAGGGGTGCAAAAAATGAGAATGCGGAACTAAGTCCCTATTCCAATGAAAACGGTCATTTTTTTAATTTAGTATTTCAATGCACTCAGTGGAACTAATTTGTTGCCATGGGGAAGGGGATGTGCCCAACCCCCTCATACTAGCTCACCATACACCCATGTACAACTAGTATCAGTGCAACATTAATATGTTACCAAAATTAATATCTTCTGTACAACGCTTTATATAATAATATACATTTATAAAGTGTTGCTTTTTGGCTCAAATACTGTATCTTATTAAAATCTGTAATGTATGATGATGCTTTTAAGATAATTTCAGATAGAAGAATTTTTCAACAAAGGTGCTAAATATATTATTTGTATTTCTTATCACATTTTTATATATTTACTTGTTGATTCTGGCAACTAGCAACAGGACCTAAATATAATTTAGTGACGATAGTATAAAGGAATGACAGGTCGTTTTAAGTACAAAGATTTAACAATAACTGAAATGGCAGACAATACAGTATGGTTCCATAGTAACACCCTATAGTTATTTTTTGCATTTCTTTTTACACTTTTTACTGTTTACTTGTTCATGTCAACTAATAATAGGACCTACAGAATTCAGTGACGTTAGCATGAAGGGATGACAGGTCATTTTAACTCTTTCACTGCGCAAACCCGGTAGTAACCAGGTAGAAAAAAATGTTGTTGAATTGCGCGTACCTGATAGTACCGGGTATATGAAAATAATTCTTTCTAAAATTGTTCCCGTACTGCAGGCACCCTCTATAGTTGTTTCCATAAACTAGAGGTGATTTACCTGCAGCAGTGAAGGGTTAAATACATTAAAGATCTAACAGTACTGTAACTGAAATGTAAAATGGCGAACAATGCCCAGTGTAGTTCCATACAGTAACTTATGCAGATTATCTATTTCATAAAGTTTTTCTGAACAGCACAAAGCAATTGAGTATTGGAATGGCGCCACATAAAAGGAGCAATAGATAGATTGATAGATTGATCGATAGATAGATAGTTACACCTCAGAAAATTGGCAAAATAATCATTCAAAGCAAGATATGTTTTAGTCTCTTTCAGCATAGTTTTGTACAGGCCAGTCCTCTATTTCCAAATACCTAGAATTTTATTTGGCACAATGCAAAACATTGTGAAAATCAATCAGAAATTGTGAGTCTAGGTTTATTATCATTGGTGTTAAAGGAAGGGGAGGAGGGTTTAAGCCCCATCGAAAAAGCCAATCTCTCAGTCAGCCATGACTCGTGGGAACAAAAATATGGAACCTTTTTTGGTAATTGTTTGAGCATAATTCTGAAATGTTTCAGTAAGGCCATGTCTCAAAATTGCAGTTTTTCTAGGCACCAGGTATTAGCCTTTTCAACCCCTCAAGGCCTATAGTATGTTCTACAGTCCCTGCTAGTCAGTGTCAGAAATTATTAGGTCCGCTTCTTCTGTGGTGACTGTAGGATATATTATCTGGGGTTAGGGAGCTAAGCTGTCAACAAGGGGGAGGGCTGAATGAGATAAAGATAACTTTGGCGCACAACACCATCCGAGGGCGGCCGCCACTGTCCTGCTAATCACCCTGAAATATGCACTACATTCATAGCAAAGATGGAGTCATTCCTAGCAACTTTAGCATCTTTACATGAGGATTGGCTGGTAGACAACAATAATACAGCATTTATTTATTACAAAATTTAAATAACCTCATATTATCATTTGTGGCATACATACTGTATATTTACTACACAACATGTAAAGTCATCAGAGCCAACAGACCACAATTTTACCAAATTCATCTTTATCAATCTGCTTTTTTGTAATATCATGTTGTTCTTATTTTATGTCATACATGTACTCAGTGTACCATTATCAGTTGCAATTTAGCTGGAAAGCTACAAAGATGATATTTTTGAATTAAATTTGATGTTTTAAAAAATTAAATCAGCATGTGTGTTTTACAGTAGCACCTATCATTACAGAACTACAAAATTTCAAAACAATTCAACAAATTTATAGAGTAATTTTATCAAAATGATTGAGGAAATATATTGAACGGTTTAGAAAAATATTAAACAATTTAAAAAATTATTATTATAATTACTATTATTACTATTATTATTATTATTATTATTATTATTATTATTATTATTATTATTATTATTATTATTATTATATGTATTTAAGACATCCTGTACATGGCATTTTGCTGTTGGATAATTTGAAATAAAATAAAATAAAAACCCTCTTTAAGCCAGGTTTTGAAGGGAAAAAATGTTGACATGTTAATTCGGGAATGGGTAATGAAATACAGATATTTTAATATTTAAAAACTGGGGGGGGGGAGGGGAAAGGGGCATAACCACTCTTTTTCCAGCTTTCACAACATTACAAAATCTGTGTCTCATTAACTGTTCTTAAGTTTTTTGTCAAACACCTTATTTGTCTCTTAGATTCTGGTAAATCAGTTGTATAACATATCAAACATATTTTTTTTCTCTGGAGCCTGGTTTTAATATGAGTATGTTTATGAAATGATAACTTTTCCAGATGAATGTAAATGATACGGATGATGAAGATAATGAAGCTCATAATGATGCTAATAATAAAAGGTTTCAACTCCCTCCCCTGACAACAATCCCTCGCCCCAGTAATATTATTAGTATAACCCTTTCATTATTATTATTATTATTAAAATTACCATTATTGTGAATTTGTGTTTTTATTTTTATAGTTTAACAATTTTACTACTGTACATCAAGGTCTTCATTTTACAAACTTATTAGATTTTCATACAGCTTTTATCCAATTCTTAATATTATAAAGTTTTATTTGTAAATTCAAAATTGATTTGATAATGAATAAAGAATTAAACTGAATTATTATTATTATGATTATTATTATTACTATTTTCATTATTATTAATATATTTTTATTATATCTTATACAATATAGCTATTGCAATTGAAACTGCAATATTATTAGTATTATCGTTTTGTTAATATTATTCTTATACTACTATAGATCTGATACAATATATATTTTAATCAGTATAAAGAGGAATCTGTTCTTCTAATTTGTGTATATTTATTCTTTTGTCCAAAACTTATTCATAACACAAAAAAACCACAATACATCCTTGATTTAAGTAGGTCCAAAAATACTATTATAAAACCACAAAGAATAATGGCATTCATCCTAAGGCAAGACTTTTTTTATTCCTTGTTTCGCGTAATTATTTTTTAAAAGATTTTTAGTGGAGGGCGGAAAAAATATAAAAGTAAAATTTTGTTTTCTTATATAGCAAATAGTTTTGTCAAAATCATCCAGACAGAGTAGAAAATTAAAATAAAAGTTTATTGGTGAATGTCAAATAGGATGGTTAAATGCCTCAAATTTATATAATTAGGAAGAAATATACATATTTATCTTTGGAGATTTCAAGACAGCGGAGGACGTAATAAAAATAAAGAATAATTTTTTTTTTAAATTACCACTATTTCGTGGCAGCGGGTGTGCTAATTGGCCAAAAATAAAATTTTATTTTTATTTGAAATCATTAATATTTGCAGTCGACGACTGGCCCCATCGAGGAACTAAGGTATGAGGTATATCCGTATACAAAATTCTATTTATATTCAGAGGTATTTATATTCAAGGAAATCTGGTTTTTGCCATATGAGGTGCAAAAAACTGGGGATGTGAACAGTGGCGTATTGGTGGGGGGACGCATCCTCCCCAGTCTCCCCCAAAAATCATGGTCAAGTGGTTGAAAGTCACTTAAAATCACTTTATTTTGCGAGTTAGCACACCATAACTGATCATTGAGGACCCAGAGTTCACCTTGCGTGCCCCATCAGTACCCCCACTTTAAGACTCCTACTACTTCTCGATACTTCTCGATATACGCAACTTGATGGTTCTTCAATTTAATAATACAGTGTATCTTGAATTTGAGACCCCTCTGATTCCTAGACCCCTCCAATTCGAGACGACTTTTCCAAAGACCCAAATAACAATCTTCAACCTTTTAACACAAAGCAAGCCCTCTAATTGGAGACCAACCCTGAGACTACCCCAAATTTTCAGGTCCCAAAGATGGTTTCGAATTGGACGGCGTTAAGTTATGATAATGAAAAAGCACCATACAAAGAATTTTTTAGAACTCATACTGTCAAATTTAAGACAGGAGTAGGCCTACTATTATTTCATTAGTGAAGAAAAAAAACACAAAGCTAAAGTTTAAAAAAAAAAAAAAAGCAGCTAGGCTACCGTCAGTTTCATTGAAAATATGATACCATAATCAGTGATGGGCGCTGAGGGGTCTAGGAAAGGCGTGCGTGGTAGATGGTGGACAAATGAACCCCTCCCTAGGCTAGAGACAACTAGTTTTTCGGTCTTACTTCTTCTTTCTTACAATTCTGGTATATTTCACATATGCCTATATTTGTATAAAATATTAACAATAATAACTCTATATATCAGAAAAAATATCGACCTACCTGCCTGCATTCTGTTCTACATTGATTTCGTAAGCAGGTGATGAATAGTGCAGGTGCTAGGCCTGTCAGCCGATTCGTACGACCATTGGCAGCGAAGTCACTGGGCAACCTTTTCAGTCGGTGTTGGTCTCTTGTGATAGGATCACAATTACAATACTCTGAAACCGCATAAGGCTCAGTTGTTTAACTTGTTCAAACAAATCAATGTTTATTCAACTGCGACCATTATCTAACACTCGTCATACTACTTAATACAACACAATAAATCTTTTGATCGTGGTGAAATTCACTATTATCAGTCATTCTGCTTTGCCTATACTGAGTTCAAAGAGTTTTGTGGGTAAATGAAGCACTACAGAGCGATTGGTCTTCCTCATCTATTACGTCACTTAACTTACTTAACCAATGGGAGAACGAATTATAAGGTTTCTTAAAAGCTGTGTAGAGTATCGGTAAGCTACTTATACAGTACCGTACTCGCGCGAATAAGCGCCCCGTTTGAATAAGCGCCCCCCGTTTGAATAAGCATAATATTTTCTTCTTAGCAAGTTAATAATCCAATCAATCCTGGGACTGTGGTTGTTGGCATGATTTGAGCTGTAGAGTGGAAACACATTCTTCTTCAGTCAATATCAAAATAAGGATATTTCTCTTGGACAGATGAGAGCTCCGATCCCTGGAAAGATGAGACCCCCAATCCCTGGACAGACAGTATATCTCCAACTTTAATCTTTTTACATATTTGTCTATGTCTAGTCCTACTCCTTTTTTTCTTTTTTCGAC